TGCAGTGGAATTTTCATTGCCTTACAAACCCGAACTGGAACCAAGCTTTCATTGCATCTCAGATAAATGACCTTATTAATATTCTCCATGGAATTTGTAACCACTCTAACTCTCCCATACTGAAAAGAATTCATCCTTGTGGTGCCATCATCTAACTACACAACTTTACCCTATACACCACCAATACTTTTAAATGTATTTACATTCCATAAATTGAATGAGACACCAAAACAGTAAATCCAAACACATCTCTCCTGATCTTCATACAACCTACGTCTCCATTCTGAAATTGAATCACACCACTCATACACCCATTTTTGTAAGTTTACAGTCCCTTCGTTAAGTGCACATCCTGAGCTAAATGTCAAGACTGCTAATCTTCCGTCTCCTTTACGAACAAGGACCTCTTTCATTCCTCTTCTACTAACCTCCTTCTTAAAATCGTGAAATGAGAAGAAGGTTTTAAGCTTCACAATTACACTATCGCGCAACCACATATTTCCTTCTTCTTTCACCATAACTATGATAGCATCCATCTCCAGTGCCTCTCTTTCTGATATTACCTCGGCATATGATTTTTGACTCATTCCTTGGGTGTGTAGGACACATCTCTTTCCCAAGTGCCAAATATGGGTTCAGTCCCTGATGATCCATCTGCATAGTCATCTTAACTTCCTCCTCCTTTCTCTTCTCCCACTGCACATTTCTGTTAAATTCTGTCATTTTCACTTTTAAGCTCTTATCCTCGGACCAGGGTCCATTTGTATTTTGAACTGCCACTTCTGCTGATACTGGACAGTTGTACCGGATGACCACAAACCTTGAACCCGTTGCTTTCCTTCTTTTTGCCGGAATGAACACATCCTTTACCACACCAAAATTGCTGAAGAGATTGAACAAACCCTTTGGATTCATCATCTTGGGGATATCATCAACAAATATCGTTACTAACCCACTTGCCAATGATGCCCTCTGCAATCCACCTCCCCCTCTCTTCCTTAGCATCGACTTCTGTAAACACCTCATTTTTTACCACCCTGTAAGACTTGGGCGTTTTATTCTAAGCACCCGATGACAAAAGTTACACTATGCAATCGTTTGAATTCTCAGCGAAGAAATTTGGATTCAAGCTCTAATCCCAAACCTTACACCCCATTTTGGCCAAAATATTTTAGACCTTAAAACTCTTTTTTTCAAAATATTTTTCCAATTGTTTCTATGATATTCCGAGGCTCGCATTTCGATTAAACTATTGCACTTTTCGGTAAATCGAGTAAAGACAATGTGGAAATAAATGGAAGAGAGGTGAACACTTTGAAAACTCTTTAAAAACATCTTAGTTATAGGTTTGGGGTTGAAGTAAATAGGAGTGGACGGAAGAAAACTAGTTTAGGAAAGGTTGAGCATCAAACTGTTACGAAATAAATGAGCAGCCTTCACTAAATTAGACATATCTTTTTGTACACTTAGAATTTAGATGTGAGGCCACCACCATTGAAATGTAGACTTTCGAGACTTCAATTTAGACTCAAGAATCACCTAAAACTGAGTCCGGATGAAGGAGATATGCTCGTTTGAAGCCAGGTCTAAAATGTAAATTTTTGGACCTAACCAGGTTTGTTTAGACCTGGCTGTGGCCCATTTAGACTTAGCTGGGTTTCAATGAAAACTTCTCAAGAGTGCCTTTTTAGACCTGGCCTTGCATTATTAGGCCCGACCTTTGGTTTTTTGGTCCTAGCCATGTGTTTTTGGGCCCGATTAGGTCTCATTAGTGAGAAACAAGAGAGCTGGCGGGAATTCGCCAGCTATTGTTTTTGAAAATATTTTTGACCAATTTGGCTCAAATTCTATAAATAGACCCCCTACATTCAGAATTGAGGGTTAGCAAATTTTTCAAAAGCTTTGACGAGCTAAAAAGACCTCCCTCCATCTTCAACACTTTTCTTCATCTTCAAACTTTCTTTAGCTATACATACACAATACATACTCCATTAGAGCTTGTTCTTGAAACTTTTTGTTGAAGTTTCAAACCATATTTCATAAACTTGAAGGTGTTTGGAATCAAGTTTGATCAACAACTAACGCTTGCTCTCTTCAAGAGGTATAAGCTTGTCACCTTTTTCCTTGCTTTCATTTCAATTTTTTTCTTCTGTTGTCCTACTATTTTGGATCTATTCTAAGTGTTGGAACTTGGGGTTGAAGAGCTACCAAAGGTAAAGAGACTTAACACCCTTTCTTGCGCCTTATCACATAGCTCATACACTTTGTTTTTGCACTCTTTTCTTTGGTTTTCATTCTGATTTTTAGAGCTTGAAAAGGTTGGAAAACATGATTTAGATGTCCCAAAAGTGGAGGGGTTAGCCACCATTTCTTAGTCTTGCTTACTAGTTTTGTATCTCTTTGTTTTTGCCTATCTTTTCTGCTCTTTTAACATGGTTTTAGCCACTGTTTTGGGGATGAAATATGTGATTTAAAATTGCAAAAAGTGGAGGGGTTAGCCACCCCTTCTTAGGCTTTGTTCCATAACTTTTTCTCTACTCTTTTTTACTTACCTTCTCTTACTTTTACCACTATTTTTTTTGGTATTTGTGGGCTGTTTTAATGTCTTTTAAATTTATGATTTGAATGTTATGCTTGTAGTGTTGTAAGTCCTCATGGCTTCAGTTGTTTAGGCCTTAGACATAGAGTCATTCGAGTTGATAGCTTTTCTTTCTTAATTTCATGTAAAGAGTTCCATTTTTTGGTAATAATCAACTTCACATAATCATTTCTGCGCCCTCCCTCCTTTCTTAGTTTTCTTTATTTGAGAGTTGTTTTAAGCGATTGATTGTTATTCAAGGTATCAGAAAGAGACCTCCTATGCTTAATAGCTTAATTTCTTCGGAGGTTCATTGTCAAGGCATAGTCTCTCTTTCATGCTAAGGATCACTTCTCGTTTGACATTTTTCTTTATTTAGTGGACTTAAATATCACTTTGGGACAAAATAATTAAAGAATGGAAAGGTAAGTAAAAAAGGACTAATAAAATTGGCTTAAAATCAATGAAATCGACATAAAGAAGATGAATAAAATTAGTTGGATTTGGCCAGATGTTAAGTCGAGTCCATCGTGTCAAGAGTCATCATATATTAATTCATGATATTTTGATGAATTTTGAGTCGTGTCTACTTCTCTCCTTGAACTAACTTCATGATAGGAGGGAGGAGTGGTGTGTCTCTCATTGTATTCATTAATTTATGTTCTATCGTGTCCAAAGCCATCACGCAATCAACTTGCAACCATTGATGGTTTTGGAATTGAATCTGCTCTTCTCTTGAGTTTCTCTATGATAGAGAAGAGCAGAAAAGACAAACATGGCTTAGAAATGCTATGTCTGCACTATTTTCATCTCAGAGCGCAAAAAATATTTTTTTGCAACAAAATAAGGCACGACCGGATCTGTTTGGGCCTAGCCGGGTCTCATTAGGGGCCAACCGGGCTCCAATGTGTGGTACACAGAGCAGTTTTAAGAAATACAGAGCAGTGGCTGAGGGTGAACATAGGGCAGTTTCCCAGCAAGAAAGACAGAGTCGTTTCTAAGGAACATTGTGCGCAATCATTGGTTTATTTCTTGGATTATTGTAATATCTTTGTTGTAATAAATTAGTTAGTTATTTATTATTCAGTTGGTCGGACTTGTAATAGGTAGTTTATTCGGACACTAGGACATTCGGACCTTATTGCATAAGAGCAAAATATGTAATAATTGTGTATGTTTTCCAACCTCCGTTTCTTTCTCCTTTTTATTTACTTGCTTATGATGGGTAGCATAGAGCATCATGTTTACTTAGCATTTTTCATAGCTTGCATTCATTTGTTTTGCATGCATACGGGTTCGGCTCATCATACTAACCGATATCAATTTCGAATTTTTTTCTCGAATACGTGCTCCTTTGCATGCCTTGAATTGAATTACATGCCATGTTAGTAGCCAAGCTCATTATTTGCATAATATGTGCGTTGCATTAGTCATTTTACATCGTTAGAATCATACATTTTTTCTAACCATTTTATTTCTTTTGGCTTGTCTTGGAGTACTAGGTGAACATTTATTGCCCTAGCATATTGCATGTATGTTTATGTTGCCATATCGAGTATGCTTTTCGTGAGACTAAGTGCTTAAGTGATATACCTGTTTGAATGCTGGTGGATGAAGGCCTTTTTACTTAAGTTAGAATAATTTGACTAACGTAAATACGAGCTCACTTTTTCAAGTGACACGTATGCAAAACACTTTTTCAAAACAAACATAAAATTCATACATTCCAAATTTTGTAAATTGGTCTATAACCGGAACAAGAGCATGTAATGTAAATAAAAATCATATCATGATTAGTAAAGGCCGATCTTTGATTGGGTAAGTGGGGTGGTCAATTCATTACCTTCCCCTCTCATACCTAAGGTCTCGAGCTGAGACACTTTGGTGATGACGGACTAATGGCCTTTGGCACGAGTCACGTGTTTTCTAAATTTTTCAAAAATATTTAGGTGGTGACTCTAAAATCTGGCAAAGCGGTCAATTTTTGGTCTTTTTGAATCAAAATTGATTTTTCAAAAGATTTGCTAGATTTGGACTCATTTGTGTTTATTTATTTCACATTGTATTTGTGAAACCAGATTTAGAATCACGGGAGTCCGAACTGTACGGCTAATCGTATCCGAGAGGAGCACGAAAAGCAAGCTACAACTTCTAACCTCCTCCTCCCCCTTTGTCCATGATAATCCCTCTACTTGCGCTCGTGTTTTTGCACTCTAGGTTGCTGCTTTATCGTCTCTCTGTTGGTCATCATCATCAAAATGTAATAATATAACATGATTTACATTTCTCGTTTTCATCTCGTTTTCATCAACTTCTCAACTCATTTTTATTCTTGTATGCAATAATAGATGAGAACAATCCCATATAAGCACAGATCAAACAAGCAAAGTGTAGAAAACATTGGAAGAAGAAGAATGTTAGAGACTTGGAATGTTGGAAGAAGATGAAACTTGGAATTTTCTCATTTTCAAGTCTACACTGGTAAAAAGCAAACAAAGCAAAATAAAAAAAAATTGACAAGAAGCTTCATGCTTTCACTGCCGAGCCCCTGAAGAGCAAAATGGCAAGGCTGCCAATGCAAAAATAGATGATAGAACCATAGCAGTGAGTCACAAACGAACCAAAGTCTGTCCCCACGATGCATTGCCATCCTGATCCATATGTCGTATCAAATTCCTGCATCAAACACCTGGCCACAGATTAATAAGAAGCCATACGCTATAGCAATTCTCATGTAGAGAATTCAATCACAAAAGCTAAAGCGAAAATACACACAACACTCAGGTACACAGAATATTCACATGTTTTGTAAGTGTTCTATGAGTGTTTTTTTGTATTACTTTTTTATGGTTGAATTGCATGGATAAAAAAAAAAGGGGACCTTCCTGGCATTTTCAAAATAAGTAATGCTTCTATTCAATCCATCAAAATGGACTGGACGGTGCAATTTATTTTCTGTGGATGACTCACTTTGATAATATAAATCGTTCATTCTTCCCCGATCGTACCCAAGCTCCCGAGCCGAGACAACTCCGGTGATGACGGACATGTGGCCTTCGGCACCGAGTCAGGGTTTCCTAAATTCTCCCATAAAAAATATTTAGGTGGCGACTCTGTATCTGGCAAAGCAGTCCATGTTTGGCACTACTTTTTCAAAAATCTGTTTCTCAAAACGATTTGCCAGATTTGGACTCTTTGGTTCAGATTAAGAACCGTGACGACAAAATTGAGTCCGAACTGTAGCACGAGGCCCCACGCGGGCGCCGTCTACACACTTATACTTCTAACCCCTAACCCTCCTTGATTTTTAGGCTTAGTCAACTCCTGCTATCTCACCAAATGTGCTTTCCTCCTAACATCACTGTTGCCCTAGAGAAACATAACCTGCAATTTGTCAATTGTCTTCACTATTCCCTTAAACATCTTAAATATAGATATATAATAGGAAGGTAAACAAGCCACAACCGACTTAATCAACGTTAGTCTTCCTGCAAAAGACAACACCTTCCTCTTTCAAAGAGACAACGTCTTCCTTACTTTATCAACCGCAGGTTGCCATGTGGACTTCCTTCTAGGATTGACTCCTAAAGGTAATCCCAAATACATTAAAGGTAGCTTCTTGATGTGGCAATTTAACTCATCTGCAAAAGCCTGCACCTCACTATCAGAGATGCTCACTCCACACACTACAGTTTTGTGAAAGTTTATTTTTAAGCCAAACGTCACTTCAAAGCACCTTAATATCCTTTTGATCAATAACAACTCCTCTATATCTGCCTCATGGAAAATTATTATGTTATCCGTAAGCTGTAAATGTGAGATATTTATACCATTAGACCCCACCGAGTCTCCTTTAACCAATCCCAATATCTTAGCTCTATTTAGCAACAAATTTAACCCTTCAGCCACCAGATTAAATAAAAAATGTGAGAGTGGATCACCTTGCCCTAACCCTCTTTGTTGTGAAAACTTTTCAGTGGGTGATCCATTTACCAAAACTGATATTCTAGATGAGGATAGACATTCCTTAATCCACTCCAACTATTTTTCTCCAAACCCAAAATTAGACATCATTGAAAACAAGAACTCCTAATTTACCGAATCATACGCCTTTTCGAAGTCAAGCTTAAGTATCACCCCCTTTTGCTTTGTTGATTTCCACCACTCAATGACCTCATTGGCAATCAAAACTCCGTCTAGAATACACCTTCCTCCAATAAATGCCATCTGAACCTCACTAACCAGCCTCGGCAAGACCTTCTTCAGTCTTTGAGATAGAACTTTAGCTAGAATTTTGTAAATTGAACCCACCAAACTAATTGGCCTATAATCCACAAAATCTACTAGACTGTCCTTCTTAGGAATCAATGTTATAAATGAACTATTAATCCCTTTGGCCAACTTACCATTACTGTGGAATTCATGCATGAACTGGAGGATCTCACCTCTCATCACTTTCTAACTCTTCTGAATACAGTAAAGATTGAATCCATCAGGCCCTGGAGCTTTATTCCCATCACAGTCCTTCATAGCTGCCTACACTTCTTCCATTGTAACCTCTGCTTCTAACTCTCTCTTTACCCCATCATCCCCAATGGTAATAAAAGGTCCATCCAACTTTGGTCTACTTTTCCACACCTCAAAATACAGTTTTTTAAAATGCCCTACCACTACTTGTTTCACCCTTGTTGGTTCCCCAATAACTTCCCCATTCTCAACAACTGTATCAATTAAATTCTTTCTTTGTCTCCTCTTAACCATGACATGAAAGAATCTCGTATTCTTATCCTCATCTTGAACCCATTTAACTCTAGACTTCTGTTGCCATATCCACTACAATCTTTTGTTCACCTTCCATACTAAGCTTCTTAACTCTTTTCTTCTACCAATTTCGGTAGCTAGAAGTGTTCCATCTTCAGCTTTTAAGTCGATCTCATAAAGCTCCTCCTTTGTGGATTTTAGCTGATGTTCAACATTTCCGAACACCTCCACATTTCATTTCTTCAATGCCATCTTTAGATTTGCTAACTTGTTCTTTAGCCTAAAGCCAGCCCACTCATAAGTCTCTATCTCTAACCAAGATTTCTTAACCATAGACATAAAATTAGGGTGCAAAGTCTAAGCATTTAAGAACCGAAAAGGTCTAGGACCCCAATTTCTTTCATTCTCCATCAGCACCAAAAGACAGTGGTCAGAAATACTCTTTGGAAGGCCCCACTACTTGAGGCTAAACTTTTCCAACCATAAAGAATCTAATAAAAACCTATCAATTTTACTCCATCCATCACATTCTAATGAATTACACCATGTAAAGCCCCTCCGTAGCAGCGGCAAATCTACTAGCTCCATAATCTCAATAAACTCATTAAATTCAATCATTCCTTTGTCCTCCTCGGGCAACCCCTTCTTTTATTCAAAAATCGAATTTCATTAAAATCCTCTCCAATACACCAAGGTTTGTGAAAAGATGACTTCAACCTGACCAATACTTTCCAAAATTGACCCCTACTCCTCACATCATTAGGAGCATAGATGTTAACAATTACACACTCAAATGATTGCTTAAAAATACCTGAAATCTTGAAGACAGTAGGATTCCACACATATAGCAAGCCCCCTACACTACCCACCGAATCCATTGCCAAAAACTGCATAGAATCAAGAGGCCACATTGAAGTCACAAATATTTCATCGATATTGGTTTTCTTGGTTTCTTGTAACATCAACATATCTTTCTATCTTTGACCAACTTCAAAATTTTGCCCCTTTTATCTTTCTTCCCCAACCTCCTTATATTCCATGACATAATCTTCATTGGAAAACTTGAAGCTACTCCGAAGACCCCCTTGTCACCAATCTCAAACAGGAGCTTCCCTCAGCCCTCCTCCCATTTTTTCCTTATCGTGAATCTCTATTTCCACAATCTGATTCACAACTTCCTCCTCATTCCTCTTGTAATTCATTCCCAACAACTTACCCAGCTGAACTGCATCACAAGCTTCCTTCAGCAACGTATCTCTTCTACTAGGACCACTTGCCTAAGGTAATGATAATGAAGCTGCAAGCGCTGCAGCTCTACAGATGGCCTATCTGGGAAAATAGCTCGAACGCAACAGTTCGCTCTGGTTCATCTTTCTCTGCGCAGACTTTTTCACTCTAATATCTTTCTATTCACTGCTGCCCACTTTTCTCTTCCTTGCTAATACACCTTTACTCTTTCTAGCATATGTCAACTGTTCAGAGCCTGGCCCAATACACCCATCCAGTGGATTACATGCTTCTTGTCCCAACAAGACCCTTCTTTGGGCCCCACTAAGCATTACCTCTAAATTGATACTAGGCCTATCCTCATTAGGTCCACTAACACTTCTTAAGAAGCCTTTAAGCCCCGTTTGTTTTAGGAGATAGAATGGAGGATATTGATAGTGAGGGGATTAATAGTGAGGGGATTGATAGTGAGGGAATTAATAGTGAGGGGATTGATAGTGAGGGGATTAATAGTAAGGAATTGTTAAATTATTTTTATATAAAATAATAAAACAAATAAAAAAATATAAAAAATTAAACATTATGTTTAAAAAAAATTCCCAATATATAAAAAATAAAAAAAATAAAAAAATTTCTAATCCCCTCATTATTTTTCTAATACCATCTCTACCTCCTCCTTACCAATCCCCCTTCCAAGGGGACTACTAATACCAAAGGACTAATAGTCCCCTCTCCATCTCTCAAAACAAACACCCTCATTAGTAATACCAAGGGATTGGTAATCCCAATTCCCTCCCTATAACCCCAAACAAACGGGGCCTTAGTGACAATGGTATCTTACAACCCAGGCATACTACCCGTCTTCCACCCACGACTTTTCCAATTCTTCCACTTCCATCTCTTTACTACAATCACCACCGGTTGACATGCCCAACTCCATGTCAGTATTCTTAACCACTGATTCCAGCATACTGTCATTATATTTTCCTGCACCATACAGATCCCCAAAACTTTTGTCCACCTCACTGGTATGTTTTACCCATGTGTCCATGTCCTTACTTCCAACCTGTGCCTCCACACCCACCTTACCAACGAGCTTTGCCACATCCCTTACCTTCTCCTCCGTACCACCACCTCTCCAACAACCTCCATTGTTAGAGAGCTAGTCCACCTCCTCCATGATGCCATCCTTAATGTCTCTGCTTATACTACTCCAGCTCAAATCATGCAGTGGAATTTCCATTGCTTCACAAACCCGAACTGGAACCAAGCTTTCATTACATCTCGATAGATGACCTTATTAATATTCTCCATGGACTTTGTAACCACTCTAACTCTCCCATACTGAAAAAAATTCATCCTTGTGGTGTCATCACCTAACTGCACAACTTCACCCCATACACTGCCAATACTTTTAAATGTATTCACATTCCATAAATTGAATGGGACACCACAACAGTAAATCCAAACACATCTTTCCTGATCTTCATATAGCCCACGTCTCCATTCTAAAACTAAATCACACCACTCATACACCCATTCTTGTAAGTTTACAGTCCCCTCCTTAAGTGCACGTCCTGAGCTAAATGTCAAGACTGCTAATCTTCTGTCTCCTTCACAAACAAGGACCTCATTCATTTCTCTTCTACTAACCTCCTCCTTAAAACCATGAAATGAGAAGAAGGTTTTAAGCTTCACAAT